AAACTGAAGCAAGGTTTGCAGGTCTTTGCTCGCTGGTTGCTTTATCAGATCCTCCATTTCCTTCGGTTCGTTTGGACTTGGACAAAAAACTCTCGATTCCAGGTTGCCTTGATTCAGGGGCCTTCCTTTTGCTCATGAATAAAGATAAACTTTCGCCGGTTTCACTATGAATAGATATGAATAAAGATGAACTTGATAAACTACGCACTCGCACGCTCGCACGTGGAATCTACACATGATAAGAAAAGGTCAGCGGAATCCCATTTATAGTAGGCACCGTGCATTGCATAACAAGTTTTGCCGCTGAAAATGGCGTCAGAATTCAGTTCGAAACGATCGTGAGCTACGATCGTGTCAATTGTGGATGTTCTCGGAAGGTTTTTTAGCAGAAAAGGTTTTTCTTTTATCTAAAACTCATCTGATAATCAAGAACACAGACAACACAAGGCAACAATATTGTTTTTTATTATATTTATTGTATCATTGCTCCGTGAATATTCATTAACGATTATGTACACAGCAACCATCACCCGTAACATCGAGTGAACTCAGCCGTAACAGGTGTTACGGGTTACGGCCCTTAATGACAGCCCTGCTTCAGGGTTAGTTTAGTGAGAAACTGTTCAGCTTCTATGCTATTTCCATCATACTGTGAGAATGTGAGAGGGCTGAAGATAATGTCCATTATAAACTACTGGGCATAGTGCTGGATCCTGAGGAAAAGTCAGGATTTCAAATGGACCAAGGTATTTTCTGGGACATGTCATCTTTAATAAATTCTTCAAATCGAGGTCACATTCATATTAAATAGCCAGGGAAAATCCCGTGCCCTAAATGACAGCCCTGCCAGAGGCGGGCACAAGTGATGATCATATACCGGATTTGAACAGGCTTGTCTTGAAATGTTCAGATGTCTAGCAGGTTGTCTCAGGGTTGGGGGGATGGTCAGAAGTTTTGATTATGACCTGGCCATCAGTTGAAGTCAGTGTATTAAGATGCACATTACAAGATTTAACTTTCATGGCAGCCATTATATTGGAATCCAGAAGTTTTTGTCCATTCTTGCTGCAAGTGTCGCTTTCTGCAAGGGTGTTCTAAAAACATCACACCTATGAGACGGGGGAAAATGGTGTTAGATTTTTTGTTGCCTTTTCACTTTCTCTAAAGTTGGTGGGAAATGCAAATGAAGGAAAAGAAGGCCCTTAGCAAAACTGCAAAAATTGTAAGAGTTGCTTAAAAAAATAAAAATAACTGCTAGTCATGAATGGAAATTGCAAATGATTCAATGGAAGGGCTCTAACTGAAACTGCAGCAATTCTGAAGATACAGACTTTTGTGAGGCTCTTATGGATAGAACTTGAGGGGCATATGCAAATGTGTCTATGGAAGGCCATATGACTGAAACTCTGAAAACTTACAAAAACTGCAACATTTCTCAAGATTTAATAGATAACTTCACAAGTGTACGAGCCATAATACAGTACCTTATTATTTTACAGGGGATCAATCACAATAACATTTAATTTTTTTCCAAACTAAATGATTACAAATGGAGATACTCACTTTTAGTAAGTACCCACAGTAATGTGTTCTTTTAAACAGTTCAAGGACTTACAAGAACAGGTTTATAACCTTGTGGCCATATTCTTTAATTCGTTGAAAAACGTCCAATAGTTATTCAAATAGTTCATAACTTAAGTGATAACCACTCTTGAGTATGATTGGGGATCTTGGGACTGCACTCACAGAAGTGTAAAATCCTTGTTACAAAGTAAAATTAAAATACAACCTGCAAGGATAAAAGACTATTTGAAGCAGGTTGTGTAAAAATAAATAAATAAAATGAAATAAATATAAATAATTAGGTAGAATCATAAAAATAGAATGTGAAGGAAAAAAAGTGTTATAATTAAAAGGAAGATTAATTAGGTAAGAAGACAATACAGCACAATTAATTACACAAAAAGGGGTAAAAATTAACATTTTTGAGATCCCCCTCCCATACTTGAGAGTTTCGTCGTGCTTTCAACCGCCAGCAGTAGTTAACATTGAGTCAAAGGTTATCAAGGTCTGATTCATAACTAATTCTTATAGGGTTTCCATCCGGTGAAGTCTTCACAAAAACTTTCCCGTCAGTAGTCCAAACTCGCAGTAGTAATCAGTCATTCTTCTTATCTGTCACCTTTTTCACCAATCTTCGGCGAAATGCTGTTGGATTTTCATTTATAAAGATGCGTTCCGAGGCCACTCTAGCTGGCACAGAGGCACTTGGAAATAACTCTGACAACTGTACATTCTTCAGTCGTACTCTTTTCTTGTAGAGTGCTCTCTTAACCCTGTGGCTGACAATCCTTGCTATGATAGGATTCAAGTTTTTTCTTTTAACTCGGTGGCAGACATGAATATCTTCAGCTTTTACATCAACATTTAACACTTGAGCAATTTTTAACACTGCCTCTTCGCTCTCGCAAACATCCTCTGGAATTCCTAAAATTTCCATGGAGTTCCGTCCTGAGCTGCTTGTTGCTCTCAACCGCACCTTTAAGCGCCTCTTGTGTGTTTTTCAATTTAGTTTCTTGCGTCCTGAAGGAAGATTTTAGCTCTGCTATATCTATCTCAAGTTTATTCATTGAGTTTTGGATGCTTTGTAATATTCCTTGAATATCTGCAAGAGTAGGAGTGGAGTGAACTTCTTTTGGCTCTGTCAGTTCTTCTGTCGCAGACGCCACCATGTTGAGATGTTTTGAAGCGTTTACCTTTGACTTATCTTCAGTGGAACCATGGTCCCCTTGTTTGTTGTTCTTAACCATATATGAAGTTTGCTCTTAAGAGCGAATGCACAGAAAAATCGAGCAAAATCGGCAAATCGTGGCCACAGCTCAAAACCTAACTTACCCTCATTTTCAGTCTGTAATAAGGTTTTAAGGAGTTTATAACACTGCTGAGGTTTAAATTTCAAAATGCGGCCGAATTTGGGAATTATTTGAGATTTTCGATTTCAACGGTCTGCGGGCCTAAAATTAGCCGCCGAACACGGCAATATAGCCTAGCGACAGAGATGAGCTGACTTTCATAAACGAGCGAATATATTGGCAATCTTCCACTTAAATCTCAAAAAGCAGATATCTAACAATTTCTGAACAGCACATTTTTAAGATTTAGAGTATAAAATATCGACGAACCAGCAGAATTTTGAAACGTAATTTGCATAATGCTTATAAATACAACAATTTACCGCTAAAACCAAAATCGAATTTTCTATATGGGGGAATTCTCCAAATCACCCCAAATCCCGCTTACCCAATGAGATATAGTACTTCAACATTATCTGAAAGTTAGTCTGGTGTTTTTTGCGAACGCTTGTAAAATAGATTGATTATTTTGAGGTTATTTTGCCCCAAACAACGGCTAATTGACCCCAGGGTCAATTGACATGTGCACGTCACCTTAGTTTTATGCATCGATTTGAGCTCTTTAAAAGGGAGAAACTAACAAGATTCTTTTAATATGAACCTGTTTTCATGAAATACACGCAATCTTCAAAAGGAGAGGCCGTTGAATGGGTAATTTCTGTTCTTGAGATCTTGTAGATTGCAGCATAGCGTCTGCGAGTGGACCTGAGTCTATGTCTGTTTTCCCGTGACTGCGAAATCAGAATAACATCAAGAAATAATTCTCCCTCGAATCTTCGTAAGCGAATCAGCTTTGCAGTGCCTTACCTGAGATAAAAAGTGGGCCGAATAGCAAAACATTTCCAGCGCAATTTGGATCCTTTGTGGGCGCAGTGCATTGCTGAGCGAAAGGTGAGTAAACAAGCGTGGGAAAATACGTTACCTTTGATTGCGTGACCAGCCAGTAAACGGTAGTCTCCAGCGAAAAATAGGATTCGCAAAAATCTTGCTGATGTATATTTAACAGTTTGTTGCTATAAATTTACACCTGGTTTGTCTAAAACTTTAAACAATGCATATCTGTCCAAGAGTATAAGAATGTTTCGAAAGATCCACCCCTAAATAACTGTGGGCTACTCCTTTTCCCCCTTCACCGATGTGCACTTCCTTCCCACTGTCTTTTGCATGAGGCTTGTATGCCTTTTTAACTGTTATCGACACTTGAAACTGGCTGTTTAAGGCCTGGTTTAAGAACTTGACTGACTTAAAAAACCGTCGCGAACATGCGCTATTATTGTTGGACTTCGGAAGCTTTAAGCCCAAAATGATGGTGCAATCTCGAGAAATTTGCCCGGGTCTAATTATAAGACAGGGAATGGGTACTAAGAAAGGGACGGTCTCATTTAGCAACCCGTGGACAATCTGGGCATGCTTGCCTTCTGTCGCAGGGGCAACCGTTAAGGCCAGGTACGCCGCCCCCTCCCGAGAGGATTGCATGGCATCCACCATTTCAGTCGCTTTTTCCACATCATGACCTTCACTGTTATCATGAATTATAATGCGGGCCTTGATCGTTGCCACCGTACCAGAAGTCTAATCTTCGCACTGTTAGACCATGAGAATCTCTATTATTATTCCATAAATGCACCATTGACTTTTCCTAGCTCAGCTTCCGGTAAACCGATACTCCGAAGCAAAAATAGCTTTACAACGACGCTATCCAGGCCAGAACTCCTGTTATCAACAAATATACAAATATATAACCCCCCCCGCCCGCTAAAGAGAGCAAACTTTCCCGAACTACTCACTTGACCCACCCCATCCCTTCGTTAAGAAAAACTACACACTCAGTTCACTGGACAAAAAGCGCTCGTGAGTATACCAAACTATAGTCGTTCATCCTACAAGCAAACTCAGTTTCAGCAGGCGTGCCCACGTTTCCAGTTGCTGTAACTAATTCGACACCTGCAACAGACACTGTAAATTAAATAGCAGCCACAACGCCCTTCTTTGAAACCGTCAGGGACGAGAAAGTTTATAAAAGACTTAACAGGTGTGCTTGCGGTTTCCTTTTCTTCCTTCCCTCCCATTGTAGCACTCAAATTCTGACCCTGATATTAATTCTAGTAGTAATCAATCGTTCCTGAGCCGATAGGCACAAGGATACCAGTTTCTTGCAAAATATGCTGTGACATCCGTTTGCTCGTCCCCCTTTCTGCCTTCTGCCGCTGATTAGGTTTGGTTCTGTGCTTTGAAATAACTTTAGGAACGAAACAGGATACGTGAGGGCGTGTCCGGCTCAGGGCAAGTGACTCTCGGTGGTGAAGACATATACTGAGCTTGTCAGTATTTCGTAGCCTGTACCACGTCGCGAAAATAGAAACAAGCCAAAGAAAAATAAGACGCCTTTCTTTCCCCAGCCCCCGCAGGTTTTTCGCATTACTTTTTACTGCACAACTGATTCTACCTTTTCGAGCCGGAGCGAACATGGACGCCCTTGGGGTTACGTTTCCACTTCATTTTCGGCACCTGATTAAACGCAAGCGCTGACTTGTGGGCCTATGCTTCATTTGCACTGAAGTAGCAGTATATGACCTCGACAGACTTGCTGTAATCCTTGGTTTGAAACTGCAAAGGGCAAGAACAATTTCTTGAAAAGAGCAAACTATTTCCTCCTTAGCAGACATGGAGAACAACTACTAGGACTTAAGCAGTGCCATTGCTTAATTAAGTCCTAATAGACTTGAAAAGAGAAAGCATGATGCTTTCTTTTTTTAATGATTTCTGACTAAACAGTACAATTTCATGTAGCTTTTTACATAAAATTAAATACTTAGTTGTTTGCAGAATTGCATTTAACAACAAATTACAGAAATTTAACTAAGTTTAGATCTCATAGATAAGAATTGAACGGAAAAAACTTTTGGGGTAAAAAGTCAAAAAATAATGTTTGGTGGAAAATCACTTAATGGACATACAATAGTAGAGATATCATGCCTGTAATTTTCTGTTCAATGCACCTTATGACAAGTCTGACTAATCCACTGGTAACCCATGCCTTAAAACCGCCTTGAACCTTAAAATTTAATCCATTTGCCTCTCATGCGTAGTGCAAATATATCTTCTGAACACTCCGGGGTTGGGGGTAAAATCAGAAGAACAGAACATTCAGTTACTGTACCATTTTTAAAAGTGGGACAGTATGTTTGCTAATCATCTTAGTTAACCGCTTTTAAAATCGACAAAAGGACACCTGGTCATACAGGAAAATGAATTTACTGTATCCCGAAAGCTTTGGTTTCCGTGCACTTATTTTTTCATGAGGAGGCAATCGATAATTGCCTGGTCACGCAATCGGAAGTGAGTAACTAATTAAAAATCGATACCATCGCCGCTTAGCAAATACACTACGTGCTGCAAAGGATCCAAATTGCGCTAGAATGTTTTCCTATTCGCCCACTTTTTATCTCAGGTAAGGCACTGCAAAGCTGATTCATTTCGAAGGTTCGGCGAGAATTATTTCATGATGTTATTCTGATTTCCCAGTCACGGGAAAACAGACATAGACTCAGGTCCACTACGTGAGCGCCATGCTGCAATCTACAAGATCTCAAGAACAGAAATTACCCATTGAACGGCCTCTCCTTTTGAAGATTGCGTGTATTTCATTAAAACAGGTACATATTAAAAGAATCTTGTTAGTTTCTCCCTTTTAAAGAGCTCAAATCGATGCATTAAACTAAGGTGACGTGCACGTGTCAACTGACCCTGGGGTCAATTAGAGGTTGTTTGGGGCAAAATAACCTCAAAATAATCAATCTATTTTACAAGCGTTCGCAAGAACACCAGACTAAGTGAGCGGGATTTGGGGTGATTTGGAGAATTCCCCCATATAGAAAATTCGATTTTGGTTTTAGCGGTAAATTGTTGTATTTATAAGCATTATGCAAATTACGTTTCAAAATTGTGCTCGTTCGTCGATATTTTATTCTCTAAATCTAAGAAAATGTGCTGTTTAGAAATTGTTAATATCTGTTTTTTGAGATTTAAGTGGAAGATTGCCAATATATTCGCTCGTTTATGAAAGTCAGCTCATCTCTGTCGCTAGGCTATATTGCCGTGTTCGGCGGCTAATTTTAGGCCCGCAGACCGTTGAAATCGAAAATCTCAAATAATTCCCAAATTCGGCCGCATTTTGAAATTTAAACCTCAGCAGTGTTATAAACTCATTAAAACCTTATTACAGACTTAAAATGAGGGTAGTTTAGGTTTTGAGCTGTGGCCACGGTTTGCTCGATTTTTCTGTGCATTCGCTCTTAAATGATATCTTTCATGCTGGTAAATGGCTCTTTCCCAAGGATTATACCTATTTGAGGGATGGCAACTCTGCACTCTCAAAAAACGTGGCCACCTTTGGCCAACTCACGCATGCTCTTGGTATTGCATTCCGGTATGTGGCTCCAGATTCTCAGAAGGAAGACTTTTGTATTTCTAATCTTTGAGGGATCACTACCCAAACTTCCTTGCCCAGCACCATTGGGTCATTTGTCTGCATGCTGTGTCTATAGAGTTTGTCTTTGGGCCCATCGCATGGTAGTATTTATTGTCA